CAATTTTGATGATCTAACCACTATTAGAACCAGAAAAATTTTCTCTACAACTTTATTTAGAAGCCCAACAAACTTTAACTTAATAAAAACTTCTTTAATTTTAAAAAAATTATTTTTTACTAAATATACTAAATACTAAAAATAGAAAATCTTGTGTAACTATAGTGGAAATAGCAATTTTTTATGGTGGAAATAGTAGATCTCTAAATTAATTACTTTTATATAGTACTCCAATATTCTTAAAGATATAGTTTTTTAACAATATGTTTAAATTATTTCCCAGTATAATAAAATTATTTGGAAGACCAAAAGTAGCTATCTCTTCAAGTCACCTTCACGTCATATAAAATTTAAGTAATGATATCTATATATCACTATTACTTTTAATATCTGCAGCTTTATTCATGACCAAGATTTATTAAATCAATATAATTTAAGAATAATCGAAATCATAAAGTATATCAGTTAATATCATCATTAATCAAGAAAGCTTAAGATACAATTATTCATTAGTCAAATGTAAATAGAAATAGTTTTATAATTGAATAATAAATATATTAACACTTTGTTTTTCTTTTTTGCAAGAATGATAGTCAAAACTATAAAAAATAAAAAAGAAATTATCAGAAGTTCATTAAATCTTATATGGGAAGTTACTAAGGGGGAAGTTAGAGAAATATTTTCAATAAACTATTGTGCTCAGCAACTGTTTTCTTAAGTAATAGTACTAATGATACTGAAAATTTGGATGCACCTGAAGTAGTTCTAATTGCTGAAGAAAATTATCAAAGAATAATCACTGATCTAGCTAACACAAAGAGAAAGAATCTAAAGATATAATCGATATCAAATATTTATTATCACTGATTATAATAAAATTAGATTAAATTTATATTTTTCTGTTGCTAACCTATTTTATATAATGCAATATTTCATTTTTAAATAAAACTTAGAATTTAGATAGTGATATATTATTGCAATTCGATGAGTTAATATTTGATACTCAAACAAATAAAACTGATATATCAAATTTAGAAGAAAACCAACAGACTAAAGATAGTTAAATAAATAATTATTTTAAAATTTACAAAAGAAAGATGAACAATAAAGTAAAAAATTTCAAAAGTTTTTAATTAAGAATACATCAAATAGTTTAATATTTAATTATTTTTTTTAAATTGATTAATAAGAATAAGGTAACAAAGATTCTTAATAATATTAAATTATAAAATTAATTAAAATTAATTAACAAATCAAAGTAAGAATTTCAGTAATGACTTTGAAAATAATGAGAAAACTAATAAATTACTTGCATTAATCAATATTACTACAAATATTTCTTTTTAAGCTAATAGCATACTTGATAATGAATACATTAATGATAATTAAGTAAAAAAGTTTCCTGTAACTAAATTAACCTAAAAATATAATTTATTATTGACAAATCATGAACTTTAGCAAGTTGAAAATAATATCTTCAGAATGCTTAAACAAATAACCCAAAGCAGTTTTATTGAATCTATTCAAGATAATGATCATGTAAGAAATCTTTCTAACCAATAAATAAATCCCAAAAAAAATTATTGATATAGTTTATTGTTAATAGAAAGATGACTTTGACATAAGTGATAATGATTTATCAGGATGGTCAAAATATGAAGATTGCTACAGAAATAAAAAGAATTATATGAATATTGTGATTGTTCTGTATACAAATAGAAAAGTGACAGAGATCACATTTTTTTGTGTAATAGTTCTTGTAGCAAAAATTTTTATTTACAATATCTAAACTCTCTGGTCACAAGAATACTAGCCAGAAATTGGTACTGTAAAGAATATAAAAGCTTGAATTTAAATAAATAAAAAAAAAAATCAATAAATAATTTAAAAATATAATTTAATAGAATTTGTAAAAAAATAGATAT